GAAAGGGAGACACAAAGGGAGCACAGTGGGATGCAGGTGGAGTCTGCTGGCAAAGAGAGTGTGCTTCTCTTCTTCAGGAGCTTTTAAAACCTCCACTAAACCATAGGGAAGGCAGACCCAGAAGACTCCCACCCAATAATGAACAAGCAGGGACACATTCCCAGCCAGGTGTGGATGGTCTGGGCCATCCCGGGACAACCTACATGAGCCCCAAGCTTTTCCAACTTATAGCCTGCGTCAGGATAACTGTACACCCTTAGATCTGTGAAGTGAGACTATGGCCATGAGATGTACTTTGGATCATGAGATGTGAGCAGAAGTGATTTGAGGGTCAGCACTGGACTACTGATGCACCTCCTCCAACTACACCCGACGAGATACACCAGTATTGACAGAAGGGTGCCATAAGTCTGCAGATAACCATTTACAGCAGCCTCAAAAATGCCGATGAAGAAATTTAACAAAGGAAGTGAAAGACCTTTGTAATGAAAACTGTAAATCACTGAAGAAATTAAAGAAGACATCAGAAGATGGAAAGATCTTCCATGCTCATGGATTGGCAGAATCAATATTGTGAAAATGGCTATACTACCAAAAGCAATCTACATGTTCATGCAATCGCCATCAAAGTCCCAATGACATTCATCACAGAGATTGAAAAATCTACCCTAAAGTTCATTTGGAAGCACAAAAGACCATGATTAGCCAATGCAATACTGAGCAAAAAAAGCAACACTGGAAGTGTCACAATATCCAACTTCAAACTATACTACAGAGTCATAGCAATAAAAACAACATGGTATTGGCACAAAAACAGACATGAAGACCAGTGGAACAGAGAGAGGACCCAGATATGAATCCACTCATCTACACCCACTTGATTTTTGACAAAGGTGCCAAAACATATGATGGAGAAAAGACAGCCTTTTCAACCAATGTTTCTGGGAAACTGGATATCTTCATGCAGAAAACTGAAACTAGATCCATATCTTTCACTCTGTACAAGTACCAACTGAAAGTGGATCAAAGACTTAAAATAAGGTCAAACTTTGAAACTATTGCAGGAAAGAACAGAGAATACACTGCAAAACACAGACATAGTCAAAATACTTCCTAAATAGAACTCCAATAGCTCAGCAAGTAAGAGAAAAGATTGATAAATGGGATTACATGAAACTAAGTTCTTGCACAGCAAAGAAATGGTCACCAAACTGAAGAGGGCCACAGAATGGGAGAAAATGTTTGCCAGCTACACATCTGACAAGAGATTAATAACTACAATTTATCGGGAGCTCAAAAAACTAAATTCTCAAAGAATCAATGACCCACTGAAGAAACAGGCAAATGAACTGAACAGATATTTTTCAAAGGAAGAAGTCCAAATGGCCAAAAAACACATGAAAAAATGCTCACCAGCCCTGGTCATAAAGGAAATGCAAATTAAACCACACTAACATTCCACCTCAACCCTGTTAGAATGGCTATCATTAAGAGCACCACCACCAACAAATGTTGGCGAGGATGTGGGAAAAAGGAACCCTCATACACTGTCGGTGGGAATGCAAACTAGTACAATCACTATGGAAAACAGTATGGAGGCTCCTCAAAAAACTAAAAATAGGCCAGGCACCGGTGGCTCACGGCTATAATACTAGCTACTCAGGAGGCAGCAATCAGGAGGATTGCAGTTCGAAGTCAAACTGGGCAAATAGCTTGAGAGAATCTAACACAAAATATCTAACACAAAAAGGGCTGGTGGAGTGGCTCAAGGTTTAGCCCTAAGTTCAAGCCCCAGTACTGAAAAAAAAAGCAAAAAAACTAAAAATAGAACTGCCATATGATCCAGCAATATCACTCCTCCCTAAGTGATATACCCAAAGGAATGTAAGTCAGGTTATAACAAAGGCACCTGCATACCCATGTTTATTGATAGCCAAGCTATTGAAACAGCCTATATGCCTAATACTGATGGAAGGCACACACACACACACACACACACACACAGAGGAATATTATTCAGCCATAAAGAAGAGTGAAATGCTGTCATTTGGATGGAACTGGAGAACATCATGTTAAACAAAGTAAGCCAAATTCAGAAAGACAAATGTCACATGTTTTCTCTCACATGTAGGAGAGGAGATAGATTCAAATACAAATTATACAAACATTATCACATATACACATATCTGTATATGCATATATATATAGACAGAACATGTTTCCAAAAGTGGGACTATTAGAGGAGACTAGACGAGGAGGGAAAGAAAAGAATGATGAGTGAATAATATTGAAATACGTCACATCTGTGTAGAAACAAGTCACAATGAAATACACTAAAAACTGTGAACAGTGCAGGGTAGGGAGAAAAGGGTAAAAATGAATAATAGAGGGAGTTGGACTGACTAAAGGGTAATATATTTGAAAGTATAATATCAAGGGAAAACCCCACTGAACAATGAACGGACACTTTAACAGTGAAGGACAGGAATGTAAAACAGGTCATGCTAAGGGAAGGTAGCAGGAGCGAGGGTCATTGAAGAGGGTAAAGGAGGGTGAAAATGGCTGACATGCTTTCTATACATGTATGAATATGGAACACCGAAACCTGCCAAAGCCATTTTAAGAAGCAGGAGGAGGAAGAGAGAGAATCTCGGAGGAGACGAACCAAACCGGGTACATTGCACACGTATATGGAAATGCCACACTGAAATGCTCTATACAACTATTATGTACTAATGAAGGTTTTTTTTAAAGACTGGGGACAAGATTGGGAAGCCTGAGTTGCTGATAACAATGTCCATGGAAGAGTGCTGCCCTGGAAATTTGCCCAAATGCACAGTGGACTTTTCATGAGTGAAAAAAGAAACTTCTGTTGTGAGATCTGGGGTCTATTTGTTACTGTAGCAAAACATGGTCCATCCTGATTGATGCATTGCCTGAGCCTCCGCTCCCTTCCTTGGTGACTGTGCGTGACCAGCATTTACCGGGTGCTCACTCACTTTCTATGTGCCAAGCCGTATTCTATGTGCTGGGACGGAAAGGTGAATCAGACATTCTTCCTAACTTCAAGTCGCTCATAGACTGATGAGTGAGGCCCCAAAGCTACATGAGGAGGGGAGAGGAAAGAGCAGAAAGTCAGGAATGCTGAAGAGTTAGGAGAGAAGAAGACTTAGAAGAAGACATTGAGTTTGGATGGGTGTAGCTGTGATCTTCAGGCTTCAGAGTAGACCCAGCTTGAAGGGGATTGATGCCAGCAAGGGAGGTGATGAGAGCAAGGTAACGAGCTTTAAAAAAGTGGTGACCACTTTTACTGAGCGTTCCAGGAATTTTTACGCACATTATTTCCAATCTTTTCAAAAGCAAATATTATGTCCCTCGCTTTACAGATGATGACATCTAAACTGAGAGATTAAGTAATTTGGCCCAAATCACGTCAAGAAGGGCTGGATTAAAACCCAGGAGTGCCAACTCTATACCCCATGTGCTTATCATACAAGGTGACCCCAGATCACCTTGTATGGAGGACAGAGGTGCCGTGCAGGTGCTGCTAGACCTGTAGGAGCCCTTGGAACAAGGAAGAGAGAAAGAGTTAAAAATGATGCAAAGAGATTACTTATGGGAATTCTCTTTACAACAAAAGCAAAAGACATGGGTCTTTTTTTTTTCAGAACATTTTCCTGATTTTCATTAGATTATAAAAGAAAACAACTGTATTTTATTAATTATTCACAAAAGGAATCACATCGAATCTCCAAATTGGAGTGAGTTTCTGGGTGGCCCAGGAGCAGGGACATGGAGAGAGAATCTGATATGAGTGAAAGGCACTTTAGGTCTGCTTGAATGTCATCACTATCGTTTCACATTAATCAGAAAAGACGTGCTTTCTTCCCCATCACTCAAGTAACACCTGCTTCACTTTTTTCTTAGGTTTAACAATACGTATTTGATTCCAGAAAGACCTGAGCCACGGTTAGGCTGGGAAGGGAGCAGTTTGACAGGAACACCTATTTTCCAAGAGTAGTGTTTTGTTGTCTTTATCCTTTTTGCTCAGGCTCACACCACAACATATCTTCAGTGATTGGTGGTTATTAATATGAAGTTAATCTGCAGAGAGAACAGAAAGAAAGGTAGAAGGAAGGAGAGATGAAAAGGAGAGAACAGAAGGGAAGAAATCTGTGATGAGGCTGGAATGTGCAGTCTCATTGACAGGTGACAGATGACCAGCCTTTCCTAAGGACCATTAAACACACAAAATAGTAGGTGGTTTTGATCTGACTTTTTTTTTTTTGCAGCACTGGGGTTTTAACTCAGGGCTTCATACTTGCAAGGGAGATGCTTTACCATGTGAGCCACAATCCCAGCCCTTTTTTGCTTTGGTTATTTGTGGGATAGGATGTCACATTTTTGCCCAGACAGTCCTCAGATGACTATTCTCTGACTTCTACCTCTTGAGCTGGGATTACAGACTTGCGCCATCCCACGCCCAGCTGATCGGGCCTTCTTTACCTAGGGTAACCATATTTTGGGACTCTCAAGATGAAATGATGAACTTACTACAAATGAATGTAATTGTCGGAGCTCTCAGCTCCCAGGCTAGCAACCAGGTTCTGAATCCTCAGAGCTCATCTTTCCCAGAATAACTGAGAAATCAGAAAATACTGAAAACAAGATTGCCTGTGCCCATTGATCCCTTGGCATCACTGAGGCCTTCGATTGGCTGAAGTTCCTGCTTTATGTTTCAGAATTCTCCACTTCCAGGGATCAAGTGTTCTGCTGGGATGGGGCAAGGGTTCTACTAGACCCCTTCCCAAGGTATGGACGTCCAGGGCTCCATAGCAGGCTTTATATAAGCAGCGTGGGGTTGCACTGATGATAGAGAATGCTTTCATCCTAGAGGATGAGCCATCTGATCTGGGCAAGACCATGGCTCCACTCTGAAGTTCATTTCCCACAGTTTCTATAGTCAGGTAGGTCCATTCTTGCTTATAGCTCTGGTTATGGCTCTGTCTCTTTGGTTCTTTGATGAGTCCATAGATGGCACAAAGGCTGAGCCGTGTGGCTGAGTTAAAAACTTCAGGTTGAGCCATATAAGCCCAGGTTCCGGGCAGCTTGGGAGATCCTGGGAGTTTTCCTCTGAGGAAATGGATAGTGAGCTGCTTTGCCAGACCTGTGTGGGTTCTTCATGGAAGGAAGACACTGGATGCTGTTTTTTAAACTGGATCCCACATCCTTTGTTTTGGTGTTGATGCCCTGATGTTGTTGCTGGGTTGCCTCTGGGTTGTTGGTTCCTCGGAGGGTCTTCTGATTGTTTTCCAGTGAGTGTGGGTCTCCTTCTGGAGGGAGCCCCACAAGCTGGCCTTCCAGATTCACTTGATGACTGTCTTTTTGGTGAAAGGTTTGGACCAAGCGATGCATCTCAAGGTGTGTGTGCCATGGAGATTCAGGAGCCTGCAGACAGTTTCTGTCAGCTCCCTCCAGTGTCCCCTGCACCCCAGGATCTGCCTCTTCTGGGGGCGGTGAGCTCCTTCTCTCCTTGTTGATCCAGACAGTAGTGACCACGGACTCAGCAGGAGTAGGTATGCTCCCTCCTAGAAGAGAAGGTACAACAGAGTTGTCACTGGAAGAAGGTACAACAGTGTCATCACAGTGTGCGACCACACCCAGAATGTCAAGGGGGCTGGATACCCAGGACACTGCACCCGTGCATACACACATGGAAACACATCTGTGCATGTTCACACATTCATGCAATGTTCGCCAACATACATACCCTCACCCACAGTCACTCATTCGTTCTACAAATGCTTATTGAGCACTTAATACGTGCCAAGTCTCATTTATTCTAGGTCCCACTAATACAGCAATGAACATTACAACAAAACCCACACCTTCATGGATGTGTCCTACTAGAATAGAAAGACAGTAAGCAAATGAATATATTAAAATTTCCACAGGGTTCGCGGCTCACACCTATAATCCTAGCTACTTGGAAGGCAGAGAGTGGGAGGATCATGGTTTGAGGTCAGCCTCAGGGAAAAAGTTAGCGAGATCCCATCTCAACAAATAAACTAGCGATACAAGTCTGTAATCCTAGCTAATAGAAGGCATAGGTAGGAAGATTGTGGACTGAGGCCAGACCCAAATGTGAAACACTATCTGAAAAATAACTGAAAGCAAAAAGGACTCAGATGTGGCTTAAGTGCTAAGTGCTTGCTTAAGAAGTGTAAGACCCTGAATTCAAATCCCAGTACTTCCGAAAAATGTTTTAACAACAGAAAATAAATAAAAGTCTAGGTGTTGGAAAACTCAAGCGTAACAGAACGTCAAAATTTGAAGTGAGAGCGTGAACTCTGTGGAAAGGTGGGAGCTAGCATTTGAGGCCAGGAAAATGTCAAAGAGCAAAGATACACCACACACACCACACCCCCCCACACACACACACTCCACACACACACACACCCCACTCCACACACACCACACTCCACACACACACACACACTCCACA